GGTGACGAGCACAAGCTCAGCAGGTCACTTGCTTATATCCTAGTGGTGGACACGGAGCTGGAAAATGTGTCATTTATAAGCAACTGGCTGTATGACCTTAGCTAAGTCCCTTCCCCTCTCCAGGCTCCACTGTGACCGATGAGGGTGTCAGACTCAAGGACTTCCAGGGTTCTTTATAGTCCAGCAGTGGATAATTTTCTCATTTGCACCATACGTTGATCTCGATAAGAAAGTACTCTAGGACAGGCTGGCTGAGTCCCACCCAGGGTTCGTCATTTCCTTGCCTTCTACATTTCCCTTTCCTCCCTGAGACCGTCAGCTTCTGGGATCGCCTATACTCTCTTCTGTTGGGCTGCTATGACTCTCGCACAATATCCCCCGGTCTGTTGCTCTTGCCCACCCTTTCCCCAACAGTCTGAATGTTCTCCCTGGTGTTCAGGAGCGCCTTGGTTTGGGCAGATGCAGAGCCTCCATCTCACTCAACACACCACGTGTACTGGCTCCCTCTCTCCTTCTGGGTTTCCATCTGCATTGTTCAGAGATAGTCCCCTCTCCGAAATGCTCAGGTAAACTGCTGGAAAATATTCGTCTGCCCCTTGGTGCTCCTGGAGACATTGCAGGCCAGACGCAGCTCCTCCCTAGAGCACGTTCTTCCCTCAGCCCATGACTCATTCACGGAGCAGCAGACACCAGCTACCCCCACCCCAGCGGCGCGGAAAAAGTCTGCAACACACGCCAACCCGGCTCCTTTCCTTCCCAGATGCCCCACTCACAGCCACCCAGAACAACACCCTCACTTACCTTTACTGCTAGAGTTCTGTCTGTGCCCTGAGCCTTGTTTTTGTGACACTCCTTGGGAACTGCAGGCTGAATGGATGCTCTTCCAAGGAAGAAGCTAAGGAAATTGCCACTCCGTGACTGTCACTTACGATGGGCGGGTCAGAAAAAAATGGGTGAAAGACTATTAAGCATAGAGAACGTTTTCTAAATCTAAGCAAGAAGTGCCTTTGAATCATGACTGAGCTTGGCATCTGTCTCTCTTCAGCTCATTTACGCATAACCTTTGGCCCTTCCACACACCTGACTTCAGTTAGAAGATTACGCTGGACTACAGGCCTGGAGCTGCTGTAATCATACAGCTGCTGAGTCACATTTACGGTCAGTGTGGCTCTGGGGTCACTGGACTGTGTTAGTGATAGAGCAGAGTTGCCACCACAAAAGTTATTTATGTAGGAGTCTGAAACATACACAAGTACAAACCTGCACAAGTCTCAGTGACGTGTCTTGAGGGGCTGGGTGGGGAATAACTGTCTGTGAAGGGCCACTGTACCAAAACACTGGAATTCTCATTAGACCCCACAAACAAGAGGAGTCTGGCCGGGCGCGGTGGCTCATGCCTGTGAACGCAGTACTTTGGGAGGCCGAGGCAGGCGGATCACGAGGTCAGGAGATTGAGACCATCCTTGTCAACATGGTAAAACCATTTCTACTAAAAATACAAAAATTAGCTGGGCTTGGTGCCGCGTGCCTGTAATCTCAGCTACTTGGGAGGCTGAGGCAGGAGAATAGGAGCATAGCTTGAACCAGAGAGTTGGAGGTTGCAGTGAGCTGAGATTGTGCCGCTGCACTCTGGCCTAGCGACATAGCGAGACTCCATCTCAAAAAAAAAAAAAAAAAGAGGAGTTTATGATAAGGGCACATCACTAAATACTTAAAAAGCACACAGGCTGGGCATGGTGGCTCACACCTGTAATTAATCCCAGCACTTTGCGAGGCTGAGGCAGGTGGATCATGACGTCAGAAATTCAAGAACAGCCTGGCCAAGATGGTGAAACCCCGACTCTACTAAAAATACGAAAAAATTAGTTGGGCATAGTGACGGGCACCTGTAAACCCAGCCACTCAGGAGTCTGAGGGAAGGAACTGTTTACACCTGGGAGGCAGAAGTTGAAATGAGCTAAGATCAAGCCACTGCACTCCAGCCTGGCGACAGAGGGAGACTCCGTCTCAAAAAAGAAAAAAGAAAAAAAAAAAAAAAAAAAAGGAAGCACACAGCCTATCAAGAATAGACCAACCAACATGGGGTGGCTAAAAGAATCAAGTTTATTTAAGGGGGTAAATATGTGTGCAAAGGGAGGAAAACCAGCAAATGTCATCTGGGTTTTAAAAGACTTTTTAACCACTTCTATCCCAAGGGCTAATTTAAAACAAAATCATAGAACTCGGATTCACTTTTATCTGTCATGGATATAAAAGTAATTGAAGACAAAAAATGAAATTAGGGAAAATAAACACATATTAAACCGTGTGCCTTCCAGATACTTACATGTAGGCTGGTCTTACTAAAATCATTATAAATGGCCAAGACAGAGCACACTGTATGTTCTCACTCATAGGTGGGTGTTGAACAACGAGAACATGTGGACTCAGGGAGAGGTGTAACACACACTGGGAGCAGTTGGGGGTGGGTAGGGGAGAGACAGCGGGCGGTGGGGAGGGAGGGGAGGGATAGCATGGGGAGAAATGCCGGATATAGTATGCACCTAAAGTAAAAAAAAAAAAACAAAAAAAGCTAAAGGTCATAGTTAACTTTAAGTAAAAGTTGGTCATAAGAATGAACTTTAAAAAATAGCTTTCTAAGCTGTGTGCTTAGGCAAAAATGACAGTAGAAGTCCAATGTGGTCAAGTGCACAAAGAAAATAACTGAGCATATACCTGTATGATTCTAAGCTCCAAGTATGTTACAATTCAGAAAAGCTTCTATAAATAGAACTAAATGATTTTCGATGTTTCCTGAAGACACTACTCAATGCATTGTTTTGCTACAAAATACTGTATATTCACATATGCTCCAAATGCAGTTCTGGCCAAAAAGTCTTGGTTAATGGTTGTTTTCATAATCTCTTATAAGAAACGGCCATGTAACAGTGCCAGTGATCACTGAAGAAGTTGAGTTAAATTCTGGAAATTTGAAGATGGATGGGACAATGAATGAACCTATATTCAATTTTTCCAAACCTAAAGTGTAGTTAGTAATTCAACTGAAAGAGACATTACTTATGTCTAAATTTCTCTTTTTCTTTTTTTAACCAAGAACTTAAAGACAGGTAAAGCCTAATGCTTTCTAATATCCCAGATTAGCTGAGTATAACCCAATTAAATGAATACATATTAAAAACCGCAAGATTAGTTTTAGTTAGAAGTCTTATAGAACTTATCTTCAAAGGGATGAGAAAGCCTTGAAAACTTCAAGCAAAAAAAGCAGTCATGCAACCCAAAAAACTATTTACATTCAGAAGCTGTATTGTATCTCTCTGAGAAAATAATGGAGAATTTGCCTTGAAAATAATGTAAGACTGGATATGGAATTGTTTGAGTAATATGGCCAGTATTCAAATATGGTTTGTACAAATAGTTTGGATTTTAATTATTGTTATTGCAATGAAAATGAATCAATTATTACTTTATATGTTAGTATACGCAAATTACAGCAAATAATATATACTATTTATTAAAAAAAAATCTGGCTTTACAAAAAGAGTGAAAAACCTCAACTGAACTTCTCTAAAACCATCCTATTTTGGATATTTTAGCATTGTCATCTTGTTTATGATAAAATAATATTAGCCCACTTTTTTTTTTTTTTTTTGAGATGAAGTCTCACTCTGTTGCCCCAGCTGGAGTGCAATGGCACGATCTTGGCTCACTGCAACCTCTGCCTCCATGATTCCAGCGATTTTCCTGCCTCAGCCTCCCTGATAGCTGGGATTACAGGCATGTGCCACCATGCCCAGCTAATTTTTGTATTTTTAGTAGAGACAGGGTTTCACCATGTTGGCCAGGCTGGTCTCGAACTCCTGACTTCAGGTGACCCACCCCTGCCTCCCCCCTACCCGCCTCCAAAATGCTAGGATTACAGGCATGAGACACTGCGTCCAGCCTAGCCCACATCTTAATGACTATAGTGATAATTTCTTTCAACATTAAGTAAACTGGCCAAATACAGTGGCTCATACCTGTAATCCCAGCACTTTGGGAGGCCAAGGCAGGATAATTGCTTAATGCCAGGAGTTTCAGACTTGCCTGGGCAGCATAGCAAGATCCTGTCTCTACCAAAAAAAAAAATAATAATAATATTAAAAATTTAAAAAATAAAAAAATAAGGAAGCTAACGTTAGGATACATTGAAAACACAGTGTGTTATTAAAAGGATGACAATTATGTCACATCATCATTAATTGGGCCTAGGACAAATTTTATAGCATCCTTCTTACCTTTGTACAAAGCTGCAATGCAATTCTACTTTTGAGCCCTCCTAATTATGAAACAGAGGAGTGTCAAAGGAAGGACTATCATAGATGAAAAGATGGCATAAAAGATGACTATGCTATTGTTATATAAGGAGGCTGATGAGAAGAAAATTCAGTGATACTCTTCAACTGAGACAGGCAACCTGAAAGAAACTTGAGAAGACATTTGTTAGAGTCAAGCAGAGCTTTGGATATTACTCGGTTCATGCCTATGTTTTACATTTAAGGGCACAGAGACTCGGAAGGGTTGAATCATGGCAGCGTGGTGCCTGTAGTTTAGGTCTTATGACCTGGATCCCAGGCCTCTTTCCATTCTACCTTTCACAAAGAAGAAAGCTAAAGCAGCTGAGAAGATATTTTCACAATAATTCAAGCCAGAATACAAAACCATGGATGGTCTGAGTCAGATTTGCCCCGTCCACCCAAACTAGCCCATACCCATACCTTTTGGGTACAGCAAAGATGGGGTTTTCATCATCTATCAATTACTTATAACTTTTTCTCAACCTCTGAAGCTGGAACAAGCAGAAAATCTGCCCAAACTCTCAGGGGTCATAAAGCAGGAGTCAGGAAGTACCATCACCTACATACCACCTTAGTCTTCTATGACACCTAAACGCAACAGGCTGGAACTCTCCTGGGATTCCATGTTTTGAAACTTTTTCAGTGCTGAGGAGTTTGAGAAGAAGATACTCAGAGAAGTGCCAAGTTTATTAGAGTGAGAGAGTATCACCCTCACATTGCCACCAATAGACACAGATCTCAGAGACACACTGACCTCTCACCAATAATTCTGGAGTTTCTAGGGTTAGAAGATACCTTAGAGGTCACCGGGCTGACCCTCCCATCTGATGCGTTAACCCCTCTTAATCATCTCCCTCCAGGAGAGTGAGGTCAGATTCTGTTTAACAAATGGCCATCACTGAAACTCTGGCCAGCTCTGACTCTGCACCCGAGAGGCGGAGAAGGTTTAAGCACTGTAAGGCAGTTGCAGGAAAGTTCCTTGGCTCAGGCCCCAATGGTCCCTTTTCCTAAAATAAAAGGTTCCCAGAGTCCACTGCAAAGTCCCTCGAAATCCCCTCACCAAGCACAAAGCACAAAAGGGGGCCTGGGCCGAGGGACTGGGTTAGCTGGATTTTGTCCTTGGGCTTTGAGAAGGCCTGGTTCTCTGTCCACAGAAGGCCTCTCTTGCAGGGTTCTGGGGCCAGCCCTTGCCACGAGCAGCTTGTTCTTCAGCTCAGGAAACTCCAGTCAGAGAGTTAGGCTTGCTGTTCCACCAGCTGTAGCTTGGCAGTCTTGACTCGATGAGCTTCCTTCAGGTTCCGTGCACAGACCTCTAGGTTGGAAATGAACTCCACCTGTTGCACGGGAAACCAGCCTCGCTCCCCATCTGAGAGCCTCACGCCCTCCAGCCAGCCTGTGGGCACAGGGTGAGTGGGAGCAAGAATTACCTGGGAAAGGCTCATGACAGCTTCCCTGGATCACCTTCCTGAAGACTTTTCTGAACCCTCAGGCTGAGTGAACTGGGGAGCCTCCAGCATAAACCCAGCCTCTGAGTGTCCTAAACGTGGCTGCCCTATGTGTGGCCAAGTCTCCAGGTGTCCGCTCCTGAGCCTTCCCCACTGTGACGGTTGCACTGTGTCCCCCCTCAACATTTATGTTGATGTCCTAATCCTCTATATTTCAAAATGGGACCTTATGGGGAATGAGGTTGTCACAGATATAATTAATACAGTGAAGATGAGGTCATATTGGAGTAAGGTGGGCATTAATACAGTATAACTGGTGTCTATATAAAGGAAGAAAACTTGGGCTGGGCACAGTGGCTTTTGCCTATGATCCCAGGACTTTGGGAGGCCAAGGCGGGTGGATTGCTTGAGGTCAGGAGTTCAAGACCAGCCTGGCCAATATGACGAAACCCCATTTTTACTAAAAATCCAAAAGTTAGCCAGACATGGTGGCTCACACCTGTATTCCCAGCTATGTGGGAGACTGAGGCAGGAAAATCACTTGAACTTGGGAGGCGGAGGTTGCAGTGAGCTGAGATCGTGCCACTGCACTCCAGCCTGGGCAACACAGAGAAAGACTCTGTTTTAAAAATAATAATAATAATAAAAAAATAAAAAATTAAAGGAGGAAAACTTGGATACAGATACAGGAAGGCAGCCACAGGAAGACAGAGGCAGATGTTGGAAAGATGCTGCCACAAGCCACGGAACAGCTGAGGTGACCAGACTGGAAAAGGTATGGAAGATCCTCCCTAGAGGTTTCAAAAGGACCGTGGCTCTGCCCACACCTTGATGTGGGACTTCTTGCCTCCAGAACTGTGAAGGAATGCGTTTCCATTGCTGTAAGCCACCAGTCCATGGTACGTTGTTACAGCAGCTGCGGGAAGTGAACACATCCCCAGCGGTGCCCTGCCCGTAGTGCCTGGCCTGCTGCTCACGCATCCTCCCACTTACCATCACTGCTCTGCTGAGTCACCATCACCACATCGGCTTTCTCCAGGGCCAACTCGTCATTCTCTCGGGGCTTGTAGGCTCGAAGGCACTGTACTTGGGGAGAGTCTTTGGAAGAGAAGAGTGTGAAGAGAAGTTAGGAGAGGGAGGGGATTAGCTCACAGAGACTTGGCGTGGAGTGGTGTGGGAGGACTTGAGTTAGAGACAGGTTGAAAGTTACAGACAAGGCTGGGCACAGTGGCTCACACCTGTAATCTCAGCACTTTGGGAGGCCGAGGAGGGTGGATCACCTGAGGTCAGGAGTTTGAGACCAGCCTGGACAACTTGGAGAAACCTCGTCTCTACTAAAAATACAAAAATTAGCTGGACATGGTGGTGAGTGCCTATAATCCCAGCTACTCTGGGCAACAAGTGAAACTCCATTAAAAAAAAAAAAAGAAAAGAAAATCACAGACAAAAGAAGAAATTTGAAAATTGTTAATAAAGAAATAGACATAGCAGTAATGAAATGGACCAAAAATTCCACTCCTCCAGAGAAGACGGGTTGAGAAATACATTGCGAACACCTTTAGTTCCTCATCTCAAATATCTGAGATCCAGCTAATGGCCCATCTTCCCTCTGAAACCCTCCCTGATGCTAGTCTTCAATGGGTTCTGAACTCTTTTAAGACTGTGTGTTCATGCCAAGGCATTTATCCCTATCTAACTGCGGCATGGATGTGCTTTGCCTCTCTAACTGGATTATAAAATCTGAGTCTGTGTCTTATTCTTCATTTTCTTCCTGGTACCAGAGATGGGATGAACAAAGATTTAACCAGTGGGGTCCCAGGAAGGACCTACACAAGAGACCGAAGCCCCTGGAGCTTCAGTTTCCTCATCTATAAATGATCAAAACGGTATGGATCCAGATGAACCTTGAGGTTATTCAGGATTTCTCTATTTCTCTGTTTTTGTGAACCCAGGGACAAGCCCATAGATCTGAAGCTTGAGAAAACAAGCCTCACAGCATGCTTCACCTATTAGTATTCCATCATATGTAGGTTTATTGCTCTTTTATGTTACCACACTGGCCCGATTCTCTTGTAAAACAAACGGAAGGCTGCATTACTATTTGCTTCCTCAAGATCCTCCCCATCTGCTATTCACAAGGTCAAAGTGAAGGAGGAAGAATGATCCTGCCCTCCTCACCCACAGGGGCACTGAAGCAGCAGACAGAGCGCACAGTGAGCGCGTTAACAGAATTCAGTTACTGCTGGGCTCTCCTACTTCATTCCCAACGTGCCCTGTGGTTGTTTGTTCTTTTCAGTTGCTAAAGGTCCAGTGTTCCTTTGAGATCAGATTCTGGATTTAAATCAGGGTATCCTTGCTGGAGGATAACTGTGGGGCTGACATGAGAGGCATAAGAAGTCCAGTCTTGGTGTGAACACAGACACATGCATAATGTGTATGTGCCTGTGGCTCCCCATGAGCATCCAGAAGCCTGGGGTAGGTGACCTCAGGTCACCCTCTTAGGAGAAGGGTGTTCAAGATGGATCTGTGGTGCTACCCTACCACATACCTCCCACCACAGTCAGGCTTTCTTCCCCTACCCCCACAAGACCTTCAAGTAGGTCATATAGGCAAAATAATGTCAGCTTAGACTTAAGGGGACAAGTGATTTTAAAAAGGGAAAACTATTGCCCAAGGAAGGGAATGTATGGGGAAGGGGGATTGCTGTGGTGATTAGCGGTTTTAAGTGATATATTTCCGGCGTTTAAGCTCTAGAGGCCAATCTTTACCCCGACATTTTACAGAAAATCAATAAATGGAAGCCTAGAGTTCCCACCCAGCCCTCTAAACCCCTGTATCCAAAGGTGACATTGACCCTGCTTGCTTTTCTCTCCCTCTCAGACCCTCACTCACCGTAACACTCCAGAAGGTCCAACTCCTCTCTTGGCATGGCCAAGGCTGAAATCCACCGAAGCTTTTCACTTCTGAGAAAACAAAGCAGGGTCACAGCTTCAACTGTGGGGGTGTAGGATGAAAGCCAAGGATGGGGATGGCAAAAGACTATAGGAAGGACTTCTCTAGTCCTATCTAGTTCCATGACTCCTATGACAAACTCTATGGGACTCTTTTTGGTTGGAAATATGACACGGTCTTAAACTACATGTGAATGTGTCTCACCATGCTTTACTTTTCCTTCTTTCTTTACAGAATTATCCTCCTAATGGCTTCTCATATCTTCCAAGTGGGGCATAAAGTGAGTTAGTTGTAAAGTCTATAGATTTTCTGTTGTGGAAATTGTACTAAGTCAAATGTCCATCTCGATTTAGATCTCCTCCATCATTTTGCATGATTCTTGACACTCCCTCGCCTATCTCCCTTCAACCCAATATCTCAGAGATGACCACTGTTTCATAATAATAATTAAATCAGGAAGATATGTCTACTATTTATTCGTTGTTGTTGCACAGTGCAATCCAAGCCTAGGTTTGTAATCCTCTGAAGGCTTTTGCATTCTCTTAGCCTCTGCGCCCAATTGCGCCTAGGTAGTTGAGCACCAACACTATGACTGTTCCAGGAACAGTGCTCAAAGCACCAAACAAACAGCATGCATCTGCACCTGATGATTTGAGGTATGTGCTGTTTTGCACACAAACTCCTATGCCAGTCCTTCTGTTCAATAAATGGGAACAGGCATTCTTGGTCCCACTCTGAAGTATCTTCCAGGGGACAACACCGAAAAAGTGTCTATAACATAGGGATCCTCAAACACTTTGATATGCCAAACTTTTAAATGGCTATTCATATATCTTTTATAATAGCAGTAACAGCCACAGGCTTTTGTATGTTCATTACTGTAGGCACTGTGTTCCAGATTTTATAGGTACTATTAATACTATCAAAAATGTGGCTGCACACGGTGGCTCAAGCCTGTAATCCCAGCACTTTGGGAGGCCGAGGCGGGTGGATCACAAGGCCAAGAGATCGAGACCATCCTGGTCAACATGGTGAAACCCCATCTCTATTAAAAATACAAAAAAAAAAAAAAAAAAAATTAGCTGGGCATGGTGGCGCGTGCCTGTAATCCCAGCTACTCAGGACGCTGAGGCAGGAGAATTGCCTGAACCCAGGAGGCGGAGGTTGCGGTGAGCCAAGATTGCGCCATTGCACTCCAGCATGGGTAACAAGAATGAAACTCCGTCTCAAGAAAAAAAAAAAAAGTATGTCTGTCTATGTGAATGTATTTTATTATTATTAAAAAGATGAGCAAATCAACATTCTCAATACTGTGGATTTTGGGTCAACAGAGGACTGGGTTGGAAGATGGGAGCACAGAAAGCAAAGGTCACCCAGCGCTTGTCTTATTCACATCTGTGCCCACCAGCTGGGGCATAGAGGTTTCTGTCTCAGGCATGGAGGCATTTGCTCACAGACACTAGTATTCCAATTCTTTGCTCACTCCACACCAGTCCTTCTCCTTTCTGATACCACACAGACTTTGTCCTTCTTGAATAAAGAGTAGAAAATAGATGCTAAGCCTCGGCAGTGACTGTCCCCTCTCCCACCCCTATCTCCTGCAAGTTATCCATTAATTCTAGTTTGAGTTTCTCTCTGGTGCTCCCCAGTCCAGAATGGGCTAAAAGAGGCCAAGGCCGTCTTCTGGACACATTTTCTGCCTTAGCCCCACTTCTTTTCCAGGCTACCATCTTCCCCCACTCCCAATTCCTCTGCCCAGCCCCATCTCACTGAGTCTCCGTGCGGAACAGGAACTCAGCCTGGACGCCCTGCGTGTTTTGCCGCAGAAAGAGTCGGAACAGGTTTTTGTGAGGTCCATGTAGCTTCATTTCACACTTCTCGCCCCGAATGGAGGAGAAGGGAGCATGGTCAAATACCAGGAATCGGTTACCCCTGCAAAATACAAATCTTTTCAACATGATTCTAGAGTTTCCGTACTTCACCTACCCTCATAATACTGGATTCAAAATCCCTGCGTCTACAGCCTGCAAATTCCCACAAAAACCCTAATACGGTCCTAACTTGCTCCCAAGACAGTAGCTTCAGGGTCCTCAGGGATTTGTCACTAGTTTGGCAAACCACAAACCTAGTGCAGTGGATACATTACCACTCTAAAGAGGTGAAGAGATGGAATTAACGTAAATTTCCCAAGAAACTTAAGACCAGATACTTAAGATCTGGAATTAGCTAAGTATCTCTAGAGTAGTAGGTGGAGGCCAGTCCAAAGAAGCCACAGATAGACTGATGTGAGAACATGATAACGCTGTTTTGCTACATTTTGCTGTGTCTACAACACAGTACACGTCCTGCCGTGTGGTCTCATGACATGGGATCCCGTTTGCTTTGGGCTTGTTTTTCTCCTCTAGGCCATGACCTGAGCTCTATGGGTTAAGCCATTGAGAAGGGCTCTGCTAGGAATATGACACTTCTTTCTCCCTTTCAGACCTCCCGTCTAGCCTCATCCCCTTCCCGTCTTGTGCTCTGGCCTGCCACTCCAGTCACTGACTCTCGGGGCCGAGACAGCAGCAGGCAGTCATTGAAGAGGTGCAGGTGGACTGGACGCGTGCTCAGCTTCCTTCGCAGCCCTGGGGACACACTGAACTCCAAGGCAGTCAGCTCCCCGCTCTTTACCAGCCAGCGTGACTGAGAAATGAGTGGGAATATCTACAGGGCAGAGGAAGACAGAGAAGGCAGTGTCACAGACGGGAGAAGCGTGAGGTTTGCGCCTGGTCCCACCCTTCTCCCATGCTACTTCCATGCCAGTTCCACCTTGAATGATCATCTCTTCCACATCTGCCTTCTGGCTCATAACCTATCACTTACATTCTCTTTCTCTCTGAACGCTCTGTCTACCGCTGCCCACTGGTGTGCGGCTCCCACGGTTGTATGCTCAGGCAAACAGAAGATGCCTATGGTCCCACTCAGGAGAGTGAGTGTGTGGGACAGCTCTGACCTAGAAGCCTGAACTGAAGGAGGGATGGAAGAGGCCAATCAGGGTATATGACGGAACAAGTCGGTGTGTCTATGATGTGTCTTAGAGTTAAAGTATTAGAGGTAGGTCTGGTATCAATTCCATTTATTATCATACCAGAGACATGTGAGCAGTTATAGTCAAACATGGAGATGAGAACTAGGTGGAGTGTCTTGGAGCTGGAATTTGGTTAAAGATGAGGGTGTGGACTATGCTTAGGATGTGAATAAGGCATTTTCCTCCTCTTTCAGGAGTGTAAAGCTAGTATCTGTTCTAAGCACCATCATGGTGGCTCACTACTATAATCCCAGCCCTTTGGAAGGCAGAGGTAGGTGGATCACTTGAAGCCATGAGTTTGAGATCCGCTTGGCCAACATGGTAAAACCCTGTCTCTACCAAAAATACGAAAATTAGTCAGGCATGGTGGTGCGGACCTGGAATCCCAGCTACTTGGGAGGCTGAAGCACAAGAATTGCTTGAACCCCGGAGGTGGAGGTTGCAGTGAGCCGAGACTGCATGACTGCACTCTAGCCTGGGGCGACAGAGTGAGACTCTATCTCAAAAAACAAAACAAAACAAAACAAAACAAATGGTATCTGTTCTAACTTGGAATTTGAATGTAGAAGTCTATTTTACATTTGTAGTTCAATGAGGGATGTTGGCCCTAAATTTGGATCCAGTCTTATGTGGGTTTGATGAGACTAGAAAGAGATTTTATAAAGTAATAAATGATTCACGCACCAAAACATTTTTTTATAAAGGCTCATCCTGAAAAGTTCTCTCTCATCTGCCCATTTCTCAAATGTACACCGTCTTGTCGTCAGGACCTACTGTTGCTTTTTTTCTTATTATTCTTCCAGAGTTTCCTTATGCACACACAAGCAGATACATATATAGATTTGTATCCTCCCACTTTTATACCAAAGATGATACAATATACAAACAATTCTTTTTTTTTTTTTTTTTTTTTTTTTTTTGAGACAGTGTTTCGCTCTTGTTACCCAGGCTGGAGTGCAATGGCACAATCTCGGCTCACCGCAACCTCCGCCTCCTGGGCTCAGGCAATTCTCCTGCCGCAGCCTCCTGAGTAGCTGGGATTACAGCACCACCATGCCCAGCTAATTTTTTGTATTTTTAGTAGAGATGGAGTTTCACCATGTTGACCAGGATGGTCTCGATCTCTTGACCTCGTGATCCACCCGCCCTGGCCTCCCAAAGTGCTGGGATTACAGGCTTGAGCCACCGCGCCCGGCTACACACAATTCTTTACCTTCGCTTTTCACTTAGCAATTTGTCCTGGAGACTGAAATAGGCCTCGTAGAAATAGGACAGAACAGAAGGTGTACAGAAATGAGATGAGGGGCTGGGGATCATGTGAGCAAGGGGGTTCCACGTTAGGGGGTGATCTGCAGGACATGCTAAGGGAGTTCATGGGCAGGAAGGGGGTGCATAGGACTGACTTACTTTGCACTCAAACTCAATCTTCTGGCTCAGGTAGATTAGCTCCTCGGTCCGTCGCATTCTCTGGACGTTGTTATTGCAGTCCCGGATCAGCTAGGGTTGCACAGAGTGAGGAAAGGGGAAGGGCTCCGTGTTAAGAGGCTTTGACCTTTGAGTCCCCTGCAAGCAATCTGGAAACTGGTTATGACAGCCTTGCTCATTTCTCCCAGGCTTGAATTGAGCAGGCAGGATCAAGCGGAAGTCCTAGGCACCTTTGTATGAGCTGGCAGACCATTCCTGGACTGAGTGAAAGTGAGCGTCAACGTGGGGGCTATGGTGGAGAGAACACAGTCCCTTCACGTGGCGTGTGCTCGGCGTGGGAGAGCCGGCCATGGGTGTCTATGTTTGGAAGTTTGGTGGATGGAGGGAGGTGGCTGAGCTCTCCCAACAGGGTCCCACCTCCCATGCTCCCTGGAGTCGTAGGCCTAGGTGGGGAAGACCTCTCTGAGAAGAACACACAAAGGGTCAGAGTGGAGGTGGTGGCTGCCTACCTGCTCCAGGGCGTGGTGCGCCTTCGTGGCCTCGGCTTCCTCCGAGGAGCCAGGCTGTGTTCTCTTCAGAATGTTCTATTGAACAGGCAGTAGGCAGGAGCCGGACGGGAAGAAGAAATGGGAAACAGGAAAAAATGACTGGGGGCTGGTGAATGAGAAGCCAAGGGACAACTTTCAGCAGCAAATATTTCTAAGAAAGCAGGCACTGGGCAGCAGGGAGGCAGGATGTGGAGAACTGGCAGAAGAATGGATGGTCTTTTGTTGTGGGTCTTCCTGAGGACATCCCTTTGAGTTAAGGGGAGAGGACCAAGGTAGCATCTGCCCTACCTGGAGCAGCAGTTTCAGGCGGGTGATGCGTTGGAAGGGCAGAATCAGAAAGGACTTGAGGGAAAGGCGCTGGCAGACGGGGTCGCTCTCCAGCTTCTCCAAGACCTCTCGGAAATTGCTGTTGCTATTCCTGCATGGAGAGGGAGCTTTAGGAAAGTGGGGATGTGGGGAGCAAAGGGGGATGCAGTGAAGGTACGGGGAAAGGAGGTCAGTGGAATATCTGTGGGCTGGGAAAGAGCGGTGGGAGCTGACTGCAGGGTGCTCAGATGTGATGACTGAGGGGGACCAACACGGAAGGCGGGGCGGGGAACACGTGCTCTTGGCAGAGCCCTCTGGGCTGGGAAGGCCAGAGGTCATTGCAGGGCCCACATGAGGATTGAATGGGGGATGAGTCTCACATCAGGCTCTGGAAGGTGCGTTCCTGATAGGTCTGGTTGGTGACATAAGGCAGGTAGACCCGGTGGAAGTCTGGGGCATGGTTCAGGACCACGTCACATACTTGGAAGGAGAAGATATTATTCTCAAAGTTTTCTTCCAGGTCTGAAAGGAACCTGTACAGGATGTAAACAAGTCTCATGAGACTTCTGGGCCTCATTAAGCAGGTGACTGGCCCCTGATGTATACCGAGCCTGTGACTTCTTCACTCCATTAGTCAATAACTTCTATGGACTCCTTGCTCTGTGCTCCTTGCTATGTACTGGAATTCTCTCCAAAACTGTCCTGAGTTTGGGCCTGATTTAATGCTTTTATTTGAATATTCCATTTCTCATTCTTCTTTTGACCCTGTTCAGGTTTTCTGATCTTTGGATGGTTTCTCCACCTCATCTCCAGTGCAGTGCATGACCACGGTAATCCAAAACCTCAACCCAGGGAGCATTACTCATTTACCTATCCATTCATGGATCTATTCACCCGCAGGCCCTCTCCTCTTCTTGCCATTTTTTTTTCCTATAACCATTGAGAATCAGGGAAGAAACTGAGGCCCACTTTCATCCCATAACTGTGTAATTTCTAAGAGGGGGAAAAATGAGAGGATTTCTAAGAGGGGGAAAACAACAACGGAACTTTTAAAGCCTAACAACAGTGAGGCTGAGTGGGTGGAATTTGAAAGAAGGGGAGTCTCACGTGGCACTGACGTCTCGCACATCCTGTAAACGAGAGAAGAGCCATTGGTGCTCCTGGTTGGAAAGGGTGGACCGGAGTGAAGTCGAAAGTTGGAAATGATCCACAGCTATGTTTAGACTGCGTAGGTAGGAGGCCTCTGACACAATCAGCTCAAATTTGACCTAGGAGGTTGGAGATAAGGAAGATGAATTAGGAATTTTATTGACCCCCTGGTATATGTCAGCTACTGTGTAATGCTTTGGGGGTACAGCAGTGAGCAAGATCCTTTTATGGTTCACAGTCACACCAGAACTGAAGTTGATCTGGGATGAGAGGCAAAGAGCATTAGAGTAAGATTTCACCTAGGGTTGAAGCACAGTACAGGCCCCCAAAGGTGTAAGAGAAAAAATATGCTTTCAAGAAATCTAACACAAAAACAAGAACAAAGAATGAGTAACAATGTGAGATTAATAGTTAATTTGCTTCATTAGGGCAACACAGTTACTATCTATATGTAGCCCTTAACATCATGTGGTATATCTTGAATAAACACAATGAAATTTATATTTAAAAAAAACTAAGTAGGCTGGGTACAGTGGCTCATGCCTGTAATCCCAACACTTTGAGAGGCTGAGGTGGGTGGATGGCTTGAATCTGGGAGTTCAAGGCCAGGCTGGGCGACACAGAGAGACCCTGTCTCTACAAAAAACACAAAAATTAGCCAGGTATGGTGGCATGCACCTGTAGTCCCAGCTACTGGAGAGGCTGAGGTGGAAGGATTGCTTGTGCCTGGGAGGTGAGTTTGCAGTGACCCCAGATCGTGCCACTGCACTTCAGCCTGGGTGACAGAGTGAGACCCCATCTCAAAACAAACAAACAAATTAAACTAAATAAATTGAGCATTTTTCAAACCAAATGTACAGCAGTAGTGGCAAGAGATGAAGCTGCAGCAGTTGGGGAGGTTGGAAGTGTGATGTAAACAATGTAAAATTGTTTGGACTTAAGACAATGGGACAGTGAAAACAGGTTTTACGTAGGAGAATAACTTGACCAGATTTGTTTTTTGTAAAGTTATTTCTGTTTTTTGTTGTTGTTGTTGTTTTTGAGATGGAATTTCATTCTGTCACCCAGGCTGGAGTGCAGTGGCACGATCTCAGCTCACTGAAACCTCCGCCTCCCAGGTTCAAGCAATTTTTCTGAGTCAGTCTCTTGAGTAGCTGAGATTACAGGTGTGCACCACCATGCCCAGCTAATTTTTGTATTTTTAGTAGGGAGGGGGTTTCACCATATTGGCCCAGCTGGTCTCGAACTCCTGACCTCAGCTGATCCACGCGCCTCGGTCTCCCAAAGTGCTGGAATTAGAGGCGTGAGCCACCGCACCCAGTCTGTTTTTTATAAAGTTGTTTCTGAGCAGAATGAGAAGAAAAGATTAAAAGAAGCAAGAGCCATGTTAAGAAACTGTTGTAATAATTCCACATGAGAGATGAAGGCCTGAATAGCTATGGAGCTGAAGAGACGTAGATTAATTTTATAATTATTTATGAGGTAGAATTGGAAGGGTTGGGTTATTTGCTAGAAATGGGGCCTCAAAGAGAAGGAAGGGCTGCAGCTAATGTTTTGTACTCAAAGCAAAAGCTTTTTGAGTTGGGTACCTGGGTAAATGATGGAGTCATTTACCAAAGCAGAGACCTTTGAAAAAGGCATAGATTTAGAGGATGAAGGTGATGAGCTCAGTTTGAGGTTTGAGGACAGATGAGAAGCAGGAGACAGAGCAGGATATCTGAGAACAAGATGGCGCAGCTGTGGTTTAGTGCACGCTCAGCAGCTGAGAACCTGTTTGAAGGTCCCAGCAAGGGGTGCCATGACTCATGACCATGCCTCTAGCTGGGATCCTCATGCTTTTCATCCAAGCACGTGGTCTCAAGAGAAGTGCCTGGATAGAAAAGAGAAAAGAGACACACACACCCTGGTGATGACTTGGATGACCAATGACACAGCCCGATGACCCTCCCATACAATAACCCTGAACAGGGACACCGAAGGCTCATTTGCATCCTTGCCCTAACATTCACTATGTGACTGATTTCGGGTGGCTCATTTAACCTCTCTCAATCTCACTTTTCTTGTCTTTTTATGTGACTATAGTGACCCCTGTCTCACTGTGGAAGATGCAATAGTCAAAAGAAATGGAATCTGTGACAGTACTTTGTGGACCTCAGAGGTGCTACTTTATAAAATGAATATGTGTGTTTAAGAGATAGAAATGTAGAGCCCTTTCTTCTTACAAACGGGAGACCAGGGCTGGAATCTGATGGACTTCCAGTATGCTGGCATTGGTAAAAGAGAGCTAGAACTCATGTCATCTCCCTGCTGTTTGGTCAAATATGGGGAAGATCAGTTATTTTCTAAATATCTTCCATGTCCTTAAAAATCTGCAACCAGAACGGGGCTCTCTGAACTTTGCAAAGCCTAAAAATGTATTCTGTCTCTGACTTGGTAAAAGCATTTTTTATCTGTAAGTTCTCCTGGCCTAAATTTTACTCCTCCCTGCCTCTGAAAGGCAGAGAGTATAGCACTAATATTTATCAAACTATACATCAGACATTATTGCTAAATTAGATATGCATTATTTCATTTAAACCATACAGGAACCCTGAAAGGTAGGCATTTTGTAGGTGGGGAAACTGAGATTTAATGAAGTTATAAGGTTGCCTAAACTAGTACTTGGTGAAGTCATGATTCAAACCTAGGTCTGTCTTACTTAAAATGAAAAGTCAACATTTTTTGAGAAATTACTATGTACCAGGCATTCATGACCTTGATTCTTGCAGTGACTGTTTGTATCTCAGTTTTACAAATGAGGAAACTGAGGCTTAGAAAGATCACATCATGGCCAGGCATGGTGGCTCATGCCTGTAATCCCAGAACTTTGGGAGGCTGAGGCAGATGAATCACAAGGTCAGGAGTTCAAGACGAGCCTGGCCAAGATAGTGAAACGCCGTCTCTACTAAAAATACAAAAATTAGCTGGGAGTGGTGGTGGGCGCCTGTACTCCCAGCTACTTGGGAGGCTGAGGGAGATAATTGCTTGAACCTGGGAGGCGGAGGTTGCAGTGAGCCAAGATTGTGCCACTGTACTCCAGCCTGGGTGACAGAGAGAGACTCCATCTAAAAAAAAAAAGAAGAAGATCACATCATTTGGCTAAAGTTAAATTAGAAATATTAAAGTGGGCTCTGGGGCCAGGCTCAGTGGCTCATGCTTCTAATTCCAGCATTTTGGGAAGCCAACGTGGGAGAACTGCTTTAGGTCAGGAGTTCAAGACAAACCTGGGCAACACAGTGAGATGCCATCTTTACAAAAAATTTAAAAATTAGCCAGGCATAGTGGCACATACCTGTAGTCCTACCTTCTTGGGAGGACCCTGTCTCTAATAAATTAATAATTTTTTTTAAAAAAGTGGGTTTTATATATAGGTCTTTTTTTCCAGAACTTAATTTCTTAAACATTATTCTATTCCATTGTTCCACACTGTCTTTCTGGGAAGAAAGGTTTTACCTCATATTTCAGACAAATTATTAGGTGACGCTCTCCATGTAAAACTTACTAATGGTAATAGCTTAGAATCAGACAAACAGCCTCTAGTTCAGTCTTGCTCTTGGGAGTAACAACCATGCAGGGACTGATGATTCTAAGGCCCCTGTTAGATGACTGGACTCCAGGACAGCTGCAAGGGGCCCTCTTCAACAGACCCAACAAAGAGCCCCTGAGTATGTTCTGGCTAAAGAGGAAAACTGTAGTGTAGCCTGAAATCCTGGTTGAACAGGAAAGTTTTTCTCTACCCTGAAACAGCAGCGATGATGGGATTAACTCCACACTCCTCCCCACAAATTCAGAGGCCACGGCCACCCAGACCTCAAGCAGACAGGAGTAAGTGGCCTATGGCATGAGGAGGTGGAGACAAAAGAAGAGGTGGTGATATCCAGAAAATAATTCAACTTCCTTTTTTTTTTTTTTTTTTTGAGATGGAGTCTTGCTCTGTTGCCCAGGCTGGAGCGCAGTGGTGCGATCTCGGCTCACTGCAACTTCTGCCTCTCGAGTTCAAGTGATTCTCTTGCCTCAGCCTCCTGAGTAGCTGGGATTACAGGTGCACGCCACCATGTCCAGCTAACTTTTTTTTTGTATTTTTAGTAGAGACGGGTTTCACCATGTTGCCCAGGGTGGTCTCGATCTTCTGACCTCATGATCCACCCACCTCGGCCTCCCAAAGTGCTGGGATTAAAGCTGTGAGTCACTGCGCCCAGCCAAACAATTCAGCTTCTCCAGAATGGACATGACCCACAGCTGTGGCATGTACATGCGCCTGTGTGTCGGGGACAGCCTGCTCTTGGTGGCAGTGGTGAGCAGGAGATAAGGATGCCAGCCAACAAGACCTTGTCATCTCTTCTGTACCCCCCTCCCCACTGCATCCTGCCCAGTACCTCCTGCAGCTTTTGGTCTTCGTGGGTCATGGAGAGCAGCACGGTGCTGTTGCGCACCACGGGGATTTCCTGCCAGAGGGAGCTGCTGGAGGCCACGGAGAGGCGCTTCAGGTACGACTCGGAGGAGACCAGGGCCTTCCGAGGCTGCCGCGGGGAGCTAGGCCCGGGTGCCTCTGTCAGGCTGTCTAGCCGCTGCTGGCTCTGGATCTCTTTATTCAGGACAACATCACTATACTCCTGGTAAAGCAGCTGGGCTGCAGGGCAAAGGAGCACAGGGAGGAAGAGAAGCAGGAAGAAGGGACAGTGAGCGGAGGCAGGGAAACAGTTCTTCTGCAATGCCTTCTCCCAGGAACGTCCCCAGCCCACTGCTGACAGCCAAAAGCCCCTCTTCAGTTCTAGGCAGAATGCCCACCTGGGTCTATAGTTCCATTTCAAGGTACTCACAGGAGTTGATGAGCTTGGAGCAGCGTCTTGAAAAGCCTTCCATCACCTCCTTTGGTTTTTTCTCCCTGTGGAGTAAAGAAGGACTCTGGGGTACCTATTGGCCATTAGATACAGAGCACCCCAGGTAACCATGGGGGACAAAGTTTCTAGCCTCTGGGACACGAGCTGGGATGTCAAGACCAAATCCCCTGGAAAGACACAGAGTTGCAGCTTGACCCAGTTGGGGTAACATGGAGCTTTCTTGGATGTCATGTGGAACTTTTGTATGGGGTTTAGTTCACGGCCGAAGGGCTTGGGAGGACAGATGCCTCATAGGCTCGGTTGACTGAATGAGGTAGATAAAGACAATCTCCCTACCCTGGGATCCTGGCATCTCTCTCTTCTCCTTACACCCAGAAGAAACAGGAATGAGCTATTTGGGGGTCTCAGAACCCTTATCAACTGAAATCCTCACTAGGAGATCTCAGGGTCCTAAGTGAAGAGAGTACAGCGTGGCTGTTGGGGCCAGGGGGACTCACCGAAAAACAACAGTGTCTGAGGGGCCCAGATGTTTTTCCATGGCTGGACCTCTTGAATCTAAAAGTGGAAATGGGGAAGATAACTGAGACTTCAGAGGGATATTCAGAGACAGCCATGGACAGTAAGACCTAGAGTAGAAGATATAGGGGCGTCGGGGGGAAAACGGGCTCTATTGGGAAACTGGGAGGGAAGAAAGTGGCAAAGCAGAGAGCGTGAGGGAGACCGGTACCAGCGATGTCCCCAGCCATGGGTCAGGATGGGGCTAGGGCAAGTACAGGAGGCCTTCTCTATCACCCAGGAGGACAGCAAGCCAGTGACTGCAACTAAAGAGTAGAAGGGAGTCCGCAACAACCTCGGGGCATCCAAAGAAGGCCCTGGTTGAGTGAGAGACAGGGAGGCAGAGGGGAAGAAGAGGGAAGAGCATCCCAAGAAGCATGGAGGGCGTTCCAGGGCTCTGGGTTGAGGTTAGGTTCGCGTGTGAGCGACGCCAGCAGAGGGAACATTGGGAACTCTGGGGACAGAAGATGGGATGAGGCGGGAAGAGCTGGGAAAAGCTTGGTCTGATGTGTCACTGTGGTTCTGGTCCTTGCTCACCTGAAGAGCCCTCAGGCAAAATGGAAGGTCTGCGCAGGCCCTGCCGGTTCCAGCTCTTGTGCTTGTTGGCCCCCTCACCAGGAGCCATGGCCTGTCCACTGCTGTCCCCTGGTGGCCTTCCTGAGTCCCGCCGGTGGGGCCAGCTGGACGACTTCTCCAGGTGCAGATGGCTAGGTTTTTCTGGCTGCCTTGCTTGGCCCACAGACGACCTCCCTGGGCCATTGGCTCCTTGCTGAGGGGTTGTCCTTGAAGGTTCTCTTGCAGGGGCCTCAGGGTGTTCTGAGACCCCTGCTTCATCCTTAGGGGTGGGTCCCTGGAGCTCCAGAGTCCAGGGAGTGGTAGGGGAAGAGGGGCTTAGGAGGTTTGTCATGTTGCTGAAAGCCATGCCCGGGGATGCTTCGCTCTTACTCCTGCTGGTGAAAGCCAAAGACTCTGTGGATCGACCTGTGGCCGGGGGCCAGGAGGTGCGTCCAGCAGAGACGGGGATAGGGACCGTCCAGTCTTGGCAAGCAGGTCTTGTTTTGGCATGACCCCCTGAGTTCATATGCCCTCCTTGAGCGCTCCTGTTCCTCCCCCTGGACTTTGGGGGTAATGGGGGTGGTTCAGTGGAAGGGTCTATGATGGGCACGGGGGGCAGAGGCCTGTAGATCCGTGAGACACCGGGAGCAGAAATGTGAGAAAGGTAGGGCTGTGGCAAGTCAGGGGTGGGGGGGAGCGGCTTGTTGTATCTCCACCTGGGGGTGGCCTGAGCATGGTGGGAGCTGTCTGGGGTAGATGGTAGAGGTCGGTGCTGCCTGGCCACGGCGGGGTCTGGGGCTTGGGGAAGTGGGCCTTTATGGGGGCCATGCAGCCCTGAACCTAGGGCCAATGGAGGAGGGTGGCTATGCCGCTTCAGTGTGGGAACCGCTGCATGAGGATGGCCATCTCTTTCCACCTCGGAGGGATGGATGTCTCTCCTCTCTGGGGGAGGGAGGGGCAGAGGTTCGTGGATCCTCACATCCATGGAGACAAAGGATGGGGAAGAACCGTAGGTGGAAGACGCTGCGGCAAAGTCTGGATTATGTGGGGAGCCCCATGGCTGGCTGCTGGAAGGACTGTGGTGCCTCTCCAGATTTGAGATGGATTCTTGAGAGTTCTGCTCTGGAGTGGACAAGGCAGTAGGGGATTCTGAAATGGTGCTCCAGTCCCTACCACTCCTTCTGTTCCTTCTTGGGGTCGTAGAGCCGTAGATGGCAGGTTTGGGGGGCCTCTGGGGCAACTCTGAGTGGGAGCAGGAAAGCGACCTTCCCCTCAGGTCTGGACTCTGCTCTGTCCTGTGAGAACCGGGAAAGGAGTCGCTCCGTAAGTGCTGGATGGCACCTGTGGAGTTGGCTGGGGGCCTGGGAGGGCTGGCCCCGGTGGAGGGGAAGCCACGGAGGGCAGCCGGGCACATCTCAGAAGTCCCCCAGGGAGATGGGTTATCCATTGAGACAGAGGCACTGGCAGTTTCTGGAACATGTGCAGCACAAAAGGTTTCCCTCCCCAGAAAGGCAATGGCGAGCTTGGCAGATACCGAGGCACGTGTGATGGGAGAGGCTTCAGCAAGACTGGGAGGAGCTGAATCTGGTGTCCTTGGAGGACTCACAGATGCACTGGCAAAGACCACCTCAGTCCCCTGGCTGGATACTGTTCCCTTGCTCAGCCTGGATCCCTCTTGCTGGCTGTTTTGAGCTATTTCCTCGTCAGGTGACTCCTCCGTGGAAAAGTGGCCAGATAGAAAAATGGACTGGTGAGAGCATCCGATGGGCTCCAGTGAGGGAGTCAGAGCTTCGGGGGACAGTTCCTCAGCCTGGGCCTCTGTCTGAGTTGTGGAAGTCATGGGATATGAGGCACCTGGAAACAGGTCACAGCAAGGAGAGTCCACAGCGGGTACCAGAGCTGGCATCGGAGGCCCATGATGCTCATTCTCCTCTTCCCTGCTCCACTTTCCTCCCACTGCCCCCAGGCTGCCCCCATCCCAGTTCCCTGGCTCCTTCTCCTTCTGCCCCACAACTGGCACCACTTTCTCCTTGAGACCATGGTCTTCTTGCTTTCCAGTTACTTCCTCTGGCTTTCCCACAAAGCTTTGACTCTTTTCATCCTGGGACTCCACCCTATTCTCTTCCGGCACCCACAGCACCTTGCTCCTCTCTTCTCCCTGTTCTGGACCTCCCTGACCCTGAACCCTCCTCTCCATATCCTCTTGCTCCCACTCACCATCATTCAGACCCTCTGGCTCCACAGTGAGCTTCGTCCTTTCTCCTTGTCTCCCAAGCATCATATCATCTTGTACCTTTTCTTGTTTTTGCTTCTGTTCTCCCTTTTCGCCATTAACCTGCTCTATCATCTGTTCCTCCCCCAACAGCCCATTAGCATGAACATCCTCCCCTAGAGTTCCTTCCCCCCAAAATCCCACTTCCTGCTGTCCCTGCTCCTCCAGAACTTGGGCCTCCTGGGGATGCACGAGCCCCCGACTTCTCTGCAGCTCCTCAGACGGCAGCTCTTCCCCCTGCCGGGCCATCCCACTTTCAGAGACTTCTGTCTCGTTGGTGTCCGAAGGGTGCCCTTTGCAGGGAGGATAAAATCTGGTCTGACCAGAGGTATCTGAAGAGGTTTCCTCCTCTTCTTCTGCCTGTCCAGATCCCAATGTCAAAGAAGTAAGTCCTGGCCAAAATTCCCCCTCTTCTTCTTCGCTTCCCAGGTCACTGGAAAATGGGGTCATGTCTAGATGGTCAGTCTGAATGGGGCAGGCCCAGAGCTCTGGGGGAGCTAGAGTCCTTGCTTGTTGGCCTGCCAGACTCTGGGGCGCTGCCTCCCAGCCTTCTGGAGTGTCCCAGGCCTTGGCCACAAGGGTTTCCTGATTGGGCTCCACATCTACAGAACCTTCCTTGGGAAAAGAGGGCATCGTCTCAACTGCATAGTCACACACATTCCTTAACTCTCTCTGCTGGGTTGCCGAGAGTCGGCGTTCGTCTCTCCATTTATAGGATGGGTCCTCATCTTCTTGAGCTTCAAACCCCAAGGCAGAGACCTGGCTGCTCCTCATGGAAGCCTCAGGGATAACGCTGAATTCCTCTATGGCAGGGATGGGAGTAGTCGCTCCATGCTGGGCCTCCTCAGCCTCCATCAGGGCTGAAACCTAAGGAGGAATTAAAGACAAAGGTTTCTAACAACTCTGCTTTTACCTATCAGAGGAAGAGACTGTAAAAAAAAGAAGAGTGATGCATTTCTTTGGTTCCATTTAGGGTCATTCTTTGAGACAACATGTTCTCGACAAAATAAGCAGTAGCCTCTATAAAACTTATTGAGGCCAAGGCGGACGGATCACAAGGTCAAGAGATGGAGACCATCCTGGCCAACATGGTGAAACCCCATCTCTACTAAAAATACAAAAATTAGCTGGGCGTAGTGGCACGCGCCTGTCGTCCCAGCTACTCGGGAGGCTGAGGCGGGAGAAATGCTTGAACCCGGGAGGCGGAGGTTGCAGTGAGCTAAGATTGTACCACTGCACTCCAGCCTAGCGCCTGGTGACAGAGTGAGACTCTGTCTCAAAAAAAAAAAAAAAAAAAAAAAAAAAAAACTCATCATTGATTTATTTATTCAATAAATATTTTCCTAGCGACCCTGTTAAGTGTAGGGCATTCAGTAGTGAATGAGATAAAGATCTTGTCGTCATGGAGCTTGTGGTCTTGTGAGGGAAACAGGTAATAATGAACAATTAAATTACAGCAGAGGACCATTGTCAGAGACAGCCAAGCGGCTCTCAGTCGTCAGTTCTCTCTAGACTGTATTACGTCATCTTCTGTCTCTCCCTTTCTACCCTTCGGACACTAGGAGTGACTCAGCCTCCTATTACTCCCAGAGACACAGACACAGCACAGGACACACCCCAGATCTATTAGGCCAGAGAAGCAGTGTCAGGAGAGGGTATCTTCCTCCTAAGCTGTGCACATCAGTTAAAACAGGCCAGGCTATTATAGCTAATGTGCAAGGTACTATGGTTTCATCTACTTTATAGAGGCTTTGGAGTTTAACGCATCTTTCTATTTTCCATAGTGTCTGCTGCAGCGTTGTAACTAACCAACAGTTTTGTTTCCAATTCTAGAGGCAGTTGTTGTAAAGTGGGATGATAACAGTCTTATTGGATTAGTGTTGAACTAGACACGTTACCACCTTCAAGGAGGCCCACAGAAGTGTGCGTTCTGCATTATCTTACTCTCTCCTTTGCCCCAGTATCCATAGGAATTCTTCGCAATAATTCTTTTGACATTTCTGTCTTTTGATTTTGACCTTCCCGCCTTTCTGCTCACTTCCAGCAGAACACCTCATCCCCTATGTTGAAAAGAAACTAGAAATCGATGGAACGGGATTCCTCTCACTTCGTTTCTGGTAATCCAAAGCAACCTGCATTTCTACTCTTTCTATCTTCCGCCCTCAGTCAGGAAAAGACGTGTCCCTCCTTTCCATGCTCTGTCATTTCTAGCCTGCTTCCCCAGGGACCTCGTGTGCTCACAGCTTCATCTCTGCTGAAACACCCCTCGGGAATGGAAGAAGAATGTGGAATCCACATTCTTCTCATCTTTCAAATGTCTGGAAGGAGTTGCTTTTATCTGCTGTCTTCATACTCTCACATCAAAGCTGTCTCCAACCCAGCTTCAATAAGCAGCATTCTGCCCATATTCCCTACAGTCTACACGCTGTTAATTCCAAAGACCCTCCATATCTTCACTGTGGGTGGTTCTTGTCAGTATTGGACACTACTGAGCTTGGAAATACTCTCTTGTTACTTGTGGTATTACATTTTCCTGGTTTTACTCCAGTCTTTTAACTAGGTTAAACTGTACCCCTCTTTGTAGCACTTACCAACTATAATTCACTTTACTTTTCCTTTGTAGCATTTATACAATTATAATTATATAATGATGTGCATATTTTGATTTATCCTCTATTCAACAGATGGTAAAATGTATGAGATTAAGAACAATGTCTTGCTCAATTGTCCGTACTTAGCATAATACCTGGCCCACACTAAGCATTTGATAAATATTTTTCACATAAAGAATAAAATTTAGGCCAAAATAAAATGTGATCTTTTCACTTCAATGGAAAATGCCCACCTTTTCCTAAAATCATGATTACCAGTTTACACAGAACTTTAAACATTTAGAGATGTATACACAACAAATTAATTTTTCTTATTTCTCATTCTGAAACACTAAGGTTTTCCTGCATACATGTCATTAAAAATAAAAAACTTCTTTAAATATGTATATGCCATGCATCTAAGAGTCATCGTAACAGATGGGTACCATTATTCTGCCCATTTTACAGATGGGAAACTGAGTTTCCCAATGTACTTTGTATATATAATCCCGACACTTTGGGAGGCTGAGGCAGGTGGGATGCTTGAATCTAAGAGTTTGAGACCAGCCTAGGCAACATGGTGAAACCCTGTCTCTACAAAAAATAGAAAAATGAGTGGAATGTGGTGGCATGTACCTGTAGTCCCAGATACTCGGGGGCTGAGGTGGGAGGATCACTTGAGGCCAGGAGGCAGAGGTTGCAGTGAGCTGAGACCACACCATTGCACTCCAGCATGGGTGACAGAGTGAGACCCTGTCTCAAAATAAATCATTAATTAATTTAATTAAATTCTTGTTTCCCTCCTGGCCCAGATTCCCCATATCTAATCAATCATCATATCCTACTGACCTCATCTGCTAAATATCCCCTAAGACTGTCCCATCCATCTCCACTGGAGCGTGCTGTTACCCTCTTGCCCAGACCACTGCATCTGGTCACAGCTTGGGCGCTGGCCTCCAGCCATTTTGCGCCTATTCCAATCTTTTCTCTATACAGCACCTAAGTGAGTTTCAAAAGCATCACTTCTAGTTTAGATTCTTCAGTAGCCTCTGAATGTTCTTGAGATGAAACCTAAATCTTCAGTATGGGTTATACTCCCTGCACAACCTGGCTCTGCCTTCTTCTCCAGCAGCCCCTCCACCTGTCACCATCTGTCCTTGCATTCCCCAACACACAGCTGGCTTTCAGTGTCTTTAGCTCACTGTCTCTCAACTGTAGGGCTTTGCAAACACTGCCTCTCTGCCTGGAATCCTCTTTTGCAACAGAGAATCCTTTGCTTCTCCTCAAATACACCTTGTACTAGTCATGCCATATTTAATGTCTATTTTCCAGGCTACAGCATGAGCACCACAGGGCACAAACACTGCCATATTAACTGCTCAATCCCCTCTGCTTGGAACTTAGTTGGCTCTCAACAAAGACGCACTGCAAAAATGAGTGCCGGCAAGAACGCAGAGTTAAAAAAGTGTGGCTCAGTGTTTACTTGTGCCCCTTTGATATCTTTGCTGGTTTTAAGACAACTGCAGAGACCATTTAATTTATTTGAACACCCATTTTCTTATCCATAAAAAGAAGATAAAAGGATTACGTCACAGTTCTAGTAAAGAGTAAACAAGATGACATAAAAATGTACACTGTCATTCTTAAGGATCATAGAAATGGTGGCTATTGTAAGTACTGTTGATCTGAAAGAGAGAGAATAAGTGTAAGAGAGAAACATAGAATTCATAAAGCTGGCAGGAGCATCAGAGACACACAGAAACTTTTACAGATGAAGAAACTAAAGGTCGAAGACCCTAGACCCTTGTTCAGCTCTCCTAAGCGAATGGTATAGGCAAATCTGAAGAAAGTCTCTTGACTTAGGTCTATTGTGAACACTTAGATGTCCCACTGAAAGAAAGCTGGAAGGCCACCACCAGTCCAGAGAAGATCCCAGAATTCTATGGACTCAATGCTGCACCTGACCCTGCACCTTTCTTGTCTGGTCCAGGCTTCAACTGAAAGTTCAGCTGCTCAGAATACTGTCCTGCTGAGCCACCTGTGCGTGCGCACACACACAAACACACATACACACACTCTGAGCCCTCCTTACAATCTCTTGCAATAGAGCCTCACATAACCAAACAGGCAGGTTCCCAACTACACTGCAAAAGTAGTATGTGACAAGATTCCAGCCGCTCCAGAAACATAGATACCATCTCTACGGGGCACAGAGGTATGTCTGTCATACTTGTACACATGCAGAAGGTCTTTTACATCCTTTTCCAGTTAACTGACACCATATGTGACTTGTTCCCTATGTCTAGCCCTTTCGTACAAAACACTATAATCCTTACGGGTGATTTTGTGATGTGGCCCTATTCTCTCAACCACACATTGAATAATATACTTGCTCACTGTAAGATACCTTCTAAAACTTGGCTCCTTCCTGCCTAAGGAGACCATGAGACTAAACCTGTACTCTCTCCTCACCCACATCTGTATTTTCAGCTCCCCTCGTCCATACACACCATCACATTCTCAAAACAAGTAGCCTCCCAATAGAAGTGTGTTTCTGCCCCATCTACGGTATTATCTATAAATACCACATGCTACCTGGACATTTTCTGTTTCAATCTAGTGGCACAATGCATGCCTGCCTCTGCAAACCCATTGACACCATTTCTAACAGTTTTCTTTCATTTGGAAATGCCAGTGGTCACCTGCTCAGCCACTGGTTACCGCAAAGGGAGAAATACTCCACATTCCCTATACTTGATCCTATCTCAGTGATCCTGTTGCAATCAGGCATGACAAAGCTAAAATGTGACAAAGCGAAAGGAAATCTGTAAATCATGGTCTTACTCACGTAAAGACATCAGGAGAGAGTTTTTTTTTTTTTTTTTTTTTTTTTTTTTTGCTATGCTCATTACGTTAGAGTGCAAACACCCTCATCCCCTTCTCCACCAAGGGTGTATAATCACTGTTTATCTGTGTATAGGCAAAGCCAGGGCATGGCATCATGGGGATATGGCCTTTCTTCAGACCACAGACATTTCACATCCATATAACTTCATCCACATGTGACTTCTTGAGAGGAAAAGCTTCTAGTCATCCCTTTAACACCACGTGTGACAGAGCTCACTATCTTCCCTAGAGCCCACCCGCCAACACCTTAGTTCTTGTCTATTTCTTGTCACGAGACACAAAACTGTACTTCAAAAATATAACCCCTCCCCAAACAAACAGCTAATTTTTTGAACTGAGGCTGAGTGCCATGTATATTTTTGAGGACCATGCTTCCTGGATTTTCTGGCAAGGTTGAGTTCAAATATGCTGACTTACAAATCACTAAAATAATATTGAGGTTAAAATAAGATCACCACATAAATATATAACTCCATTCACTATTTGACATTACTGCCCTCAATACTACTAAGATATCAAAATAGGGGTAGCCTTCTTGACCACTGACTAAAACATGTGTTCTATCCACTGTAGGAAAGTCCCACCATGCCAGTGAAAAATGTAATAAACATTTCTTATCTATTCCTAAGGTCTGAAAATGTCACACCAACTGCCTTATAGAAAAGATAGTTTATATAAGAACATTATTAGTGTCAATGCTGACTTAACACTCCATAAACTCATCTGTGGTCCTGGTGGTGTCCACACAGATCATATTAGTGTGAGTGATGTGTTTGTGTATTAACACACACCTCGAGGGTGACTTTGTTCCAGTCTACCTTGCAGGCACTGTAAGCGATCAGCTCCTGCTTACCCCACAGACACTGTGAGTGACCCGGCCCCTGTCTACACCACAGCTGTTGGTTATCTGTTTGAGTCCACACCACTGACACTTGAGTAATGCTGCTCCTGGTGAGCCCAAGACCCTAGGAGTGACACCATTCCTGTCCATACCACATAGCGACTGATCTCTCCAGACACCACAAATGACGTATTCCTGTCTATCCCACAGACACACACGTAATGTGGCCAGGGAACCTCAGACAGACTGTGTTAAGGGCAGGGATATACTCTCGGGACCCCTGATATATGAAGGCTCCTAACTCTATTGAGAATTACTATATTCTGTTGATGAGAGAGATTCCTTTGCATTCCTCATGATGTCTCGCTCCTCCCCACTAGGACCACGACATATATTCCTCTTGCACAACAGTCTCACGTGGAACTGACACCCCCAATCCCATCTTCCCAGCTCCCCAGGACTCCTTCACTAGCCACGGCTTCAGTTTTAGGCCCACAGATTGGTTAACAAATGACACCCATTTTGCTAGGGCCTATGCCAGGAGCTTCTTCATGCTCCAAGTGCGGATAAAACAGGACATCTGAGACACAGGCCACATCAGGAGCTTTTTAGCTGGGAGCTGGGATCTGTGGAGTAGGCCCAGGATGCAGGCGAGACAGTGGTGTGCAGTGGGGGAGCAAGCGAGGAAGGAAGTTCTAAAGGAAAACCACCCTCTCGTCTGCTTGACACACCCTTCCCTCTCAATCCGACAACAGTCCTGGCCAGAGTTCACTTGTAGGTAGACAGGAGGGCAAATCAGTCTTCGGAACGCAAGATCCAGGAAGGGAAGAAGGGGATTGAGATCTGGACATGAAGTGGCATCACCACTGACTCTCCTCGGCACTCTTGCTGGAAGGCAACTAAGGATGCCAGGGGTTCTAGAGCTCTAAGCCCCCATTCTAGCCCTCCGGCTCCTACCCCTGCCCCCAACTTCTTTCCACCTTGCTAAGTTACGAATGCAATGTTGTGATTCACATGAAGCTTTGGGAGGCTCCCCATCTCTAGGGAACTGGGGTGAGGGGCAGGGCAGGAGTCACCGTTCCAGGTTACAGAGGTTTGATTAATAAGGAGAGAAGCCACACACAGACTCACTCAGTATGCAGATACCTCTGGAGGTAAATAAGGAAAGGGCCTGGCCTGGTTAGGGAAAAGGAGCGGATAAAACCTCTCCAGGTAAGGAACAGCCTGGAAGGGGAATCTCAGTGATTCCTTCGGACGCGGCTTAGCTTTCCCCAGGGCGCCGACTTTGAAGCCAGAGCCCTGATTACCGGCCCGGGGAACGTCTGGGGGCAGGGTGCCTGTCTCCTAGGCGGGACCCGACCGGAAGCAAACTTTTAGGCAACGGCGTTTCCTCCAGCTCCCCTCCTCTTCCCGACCAGGGTCTTCAGACGCACACCCGAGCCCGGCCTACAGGCCCAGCCCCCCCATTTCCGGAGCCTGCGCCCCGGACCCCGCGGGGGCCGATCCCAGGGGAAGGCCTGGCTTCCTCTTCCTTCCGGGCCTGCCCCACCTCCGCCGCGCTCCTCGGCCGCCAGGGGCCCCGGGCCGAGACGGGAGAAGGGCACCCACCTGGTCGGTGTCACATGCTGCTGCCTCGGCCCCAGCGTCCCCTCCAGGTCCCGGCGCCGGCCGCAGTCCCCGGTGCCGTCCCCAGCGCAGGCCCGGCCGCCCCACCCGCGGCCCGCCCCTGGCCGCCCGACGTGAGGGAGGGATCGGGTTCTCCTAGGAAGTTTCAGGTGAGGAAACAGGGACACACCTTCCCGGAGGAGGGGCAGGGCACCTCCGCGCGCGAGCCCCATTGGTGTGAAAGAAGCTCCCGCGTCAGAGCTGGGAAGTGCCCGGCCGGCGGGGAGGAGAGCCCGGGCGCACGGGCCAGGCCGCGGGCCGTCCCGGGAGCCCCGAGGGCGCGGTGCGCGGGCGCAGGTCGGGCGCGGGCGGGGTGACCCGGGCAGGGGCGCGCACGGAGGCCGGGGCAGCTGCCGGGCCCCGCGGTATCCTCCGACGCCTCCGAAATCTCCCTGGTGATGGTTTCTTCGGGTCTTCTTCACCTGAGCCTGACTCTGGACCGGCCTGTCCGCCCGCAGCCCTCTGTGTGTGTGCGCCTTTTGCCTGGGCCGTGCCTCTGGAAGTCTGACATCTGTGGGTGTACGTGTGTCTTTATCTTCGGGCCTCAGTGGTTTTTGTGTGTTTCTTCGTTTTTTTTTTTTGTTTGTTTTGTTTTTTTTTGAGTGGAGTCTCGCTCTGTCGCCCAGGCTGGAGTGCAGTGGCGCGACCCCCGCTCACTGCAACCTCCGCCTCTGGGTTCAAGCGGTTCTCCTGCCTCATCCTCTCAAATAGCTGGGATTACAGGCACATGCCACCATGCCTGGCTAATTTTTATATTTGTAGTAGAGATGAGATTTTGCTATGTTCTCCGGGCTGGTCTGGAAACTCCTGACCTCAGGTGATCCGCCCACCTTGGCCTCCCAGAGTGCTGGAATTACAGGCGTGAGCCACCACCGCTTGGCCAAGGCCTCAGTGTTAATTGCTCCTCTGTAATGTCTCCTTCTCCTCCTCTTCCTCCATCCTCCTCCTCCTCCTCCTCCTCCTCCTCTTCTATTCTCCTCCCCTCCCCCTCCTCCTCCTCCTCCTCCTTTTCCTTCCTCTTCCTCTTCTCTCTCTCTCTCTCTCTCTCTCTCTCTCTCCTTTCTCTTGTTTCCTTCTTCTTTCTTCATTCTCCTACTTAGGGCCTAGAATTGTGAATCTCTGAAAGGACATGCCGGTGTCCTTCTGTATTCCTGAGTTTATTTTAGAATGGTGACTGTATATCTCAGGGTGTATGTTCCTTCTGTGTGCTTTCTAGGGCCGGTGTGTGTGTGTGTGTGTGTGTGTGTGTGTGTGTGTATTTAAATCTCTGAGCCCATGTTTATGTGTTTCCTTTTGCCTGTATTTTTTTCTGATTTTTCAGGGATACCTTGAGTTCTGTTAGTCTTGGAGGCCAAGGCTGAATGGGTTTATCTCTGTGCCCCTCCAATACTTCAAAGAATGCCCAAAGTCTCTCGAGCACACAGACGCACACAGAGTAGGAATCCTTTACCTAGGGGACAGAGATTTTTGATGTTTTTGGTTGAGTCAAACCACTCCCCAAAGGCATTCTTTACTCCAGGGGTTTCCATGGTGACATAAGTTAAGTAAAATATTAATGGACTCCTTGGCTATTTTGCTCTAAGGAATGCCATGGTCTACAGCCCAAACAACTTGGTTAGACCATTTCTAGATCACTGTGCCCATTGGCTGTTGCCAGTGATCCTGGTTGAATGTGGTCACTAGTTATTTTGAAGGTGGCTGTAGAACAGAATGTAATTAAGGAAGTATAGTCTCTTCTCTAATAAGGTCCTGAACAGCTGTATGTTCAAAGAGTGTGCTACTCTGCTGTGTTACTCTGAGGGATTAAGTCTTAGACAGCTGAGCAGCTTTCAGCCTACTCTAAGCTGCATGGAGTGTATGAGAAACAATAGGAGAAATCAGGATGAGGCTTCAGGTGTAGAAGGGCAGGCCTAGCATATGTCATAGGCCCAGCAAAGGAATAAGAACTGGGAGTACAGAAAGGCAAAAAGTTTAAACTGGGACTGGCTTCACTTCTAGGCTGGAATACAAAATTCATTCCCAGGTTTGAGAGGGCCTTTGATTTATAATGTGTGAGCAAAGTCAGTACACTTCTGATCTAGGGCAGAAGCTGTTGACCTCCGGGCCAGGTGTGGTGGCTCACTCCTGTAATCCGAGCACTTTGGGAGGCAGTGGCTAGCAGATCACCTGAGGTCAGAAATTTGAGGCCAGCCTGGCCGACATGCTGAAACCTTGTCTCTACTGAAAATACAAAAAATTAGCCGCCTGTGGTGGTAGGCACCTATATTCCCAGCTACTTGGGAGGCTGAGGCAGGAGAATTGCTTGAATGCAGGAGGCAGAGGTTGCAGTGAACTGAGATTGCACCACTACACTCCAGCTTGGGTGACAGAGTGAGACTCAGTCTGAAAAAAAAAGTTGTTGACCTCTGGCATATTTCATGCTACCTCCTGGGGGTGGGCAGTGGGGTCAGAGGTGCCGGAGCCGCCTCCTGAACCAGCCTGGCTTTTCTTTCTGCTTCCCCCCAGCTTCAGTTGGTTCTCCTAGGTTACAGCTCTCTCTCCTCTCTCTTTCTTGCTCTCTCTTTTCTTTGAACCTCAGGTCTCATCAACTCAACCTCCTCTTGTTCTGCCAGCTCTCACCTGTCAGCATTTTGGTTCTTGAAGTCACCACCCTTAAGTCTTACGTGCTTGTGTAGAGAGTTAAGCATAAAAGGCTTCTCCTGATTTTTCAACTAGTAGGAGAGTTACAACCAATCAGTTTGGGAGTTTGCTCTTCCCATCAAGCCTGTTCCCGTCTGCAGGGTATGTTTGCGTGTGGAGGCCACTCTAGCTCTCCCAGATTTTCTTCCCTTTACTTTTCAGGCTATGGCTCTCGGCATTTTATTTTTTTTCTAATCCATGTCTTAGTGCTTGGTCTTGGTGACTGGGTTTCTTAATCATGCCTGTCATCCCATCCAGAGATTTTGATACTTCATTTGGACCTGTATTTCCTCTATAAAGGCCTAGAGAGGAGAGAGAATGATGCACTAGAAAGAGAATGAAATTTAGATTCAGATAGGGGTAGATTTGAATCCTGACTTCTGTTTACTTAATGTGAAATCTTGGGCATATTAACCTTCCTGTGCTTTCTCTGAATCTTCGTACGCTTCATTTCCCTAATGTCTTAAATGGGGTTAATAATATTTAATAATACGTCACTGGATTGGTGTGGTGATTCGATAATATAATATGTAGAAATCACCTTAGTGTTAAGTACCCGATGGAAGTTGGGATGACTTTAATTGCCTATAATGCCTTTAAGATCAAGTTATAAGTCTGGGGAGAGGCAGGGAACAATCCTGTGTAGTTCTTGGTATCAGGACTAAGGGAGTTATGGTGACCTTTTTTGAAGCAGGAACTCATCAGCGTTATCCCTGGGGCTGTCATTGTCCTGACTAGATGCTGTCATGGTGCCACCAACCCACATTACTGGCTGCATTGTTCCCATGTGGTGAACTCTCTCCGACTCGCAGCTGGTCCAGCGCTAGTTCTTGGAACACTCCTAAGGTGTTTCTGTCTCTGCCTTTTCCTGATCTTGTGACCCAGCATTGAACCTTTTGAACTCAGTTCTTCTCTTAATGGGGCTCATCGTGGTCTCTCCATTAGTCTCTGTTGAAGTCAGACTGGCTTGGCCACTGTAGTTCTTAGCTATCCTCTTCTATTCTGTTTTTTTTTTTTACTTTGTTTGTTTTTTGTCTTTTTTTTTTAGAGATGGAGTCTCACTCTGTCCAGCCCAAGCTGGAGTGCAGTGGCATGGTCTCGACTCACTGCAACCTTCACCTCCCGGGTTCAAATGATTTTCCTGCGTCAGCCTCCCCAGTAGCTGGGATTACAGGTATGTGCCACCACGCCTGGCTAATTTTGTATTTTTAGTAGAGATGGGGTTTCACTGTGTTGGCCTGGCTCATCTCAAACTATTGACCTCAGGTGATTGGGATTACAGGTGTGAGCCACCACGCCCAGCCTGTCCTCTTCTATTCTGATGAGCACAGTTTTCTATACTTGATTTTCTCTTCTTTATTTTCTCAACCTTTGCACATTGATTGTCATGAGCCTAAATTTAGTGCCATTCAAGGCATACATACTAATTGCTTCATTCATTTTTTTCTTATTCATTTACTCAGTATGCATTCTTAGAAACCAGATATACAAAGACAAGATCTCTGCTTCCAAGAAGCTCTCAGTCTGATTGAGGAGAGAAGCAAGTAGCAAATAATGATAGCAGAGCCTGATGAGTGTTGTGTTGAGATGGACACAAAGTACAGGAGAGAGTAGGTGCTACTGCTTGGGGAATCAGAGAAGCATGAATGGATAAGGTGGTTTTATTTTTTTCTTTTTGAGACAAGGTCTCACTGTGTCACCTAGACTGGAGTGCAGTGGTGTGATCACGTCTCACAACAGCCTCAAGCTCCTGGGCTCAAGTGATCCTCCCACCTCAGCCTTCTGGGTAGCTGGGGCTACAGACATGCACTACCATGCACACCTGGCTAATTTTTGGGTATATTTTATAAAGACAGAGTTTTGTCGTTTTCCCAGGCTGGTCTTGAACTCCTTGACTCAAGCAATTCCCTCACCTTGGCCTCCCAGAGTGTTGGGATTACAGGCGTGAGCCAGCGCACCCAGCTAAGGTGAGATTTGAGTTGACTTGTCTTTAAAAATACTGTTACCTGGTATAAAGGAAGATATAGGAAAAGCATACCACCAGCAGAAGTGAAATATGCAGAAATACAAGCCTGAGTGCCCTCTGTTCAGGAATGTGCAAATGGTGTGGGTTTAACATGAGATGTGGTGAAGAAATGGCAGAGAATGAAGTTGGAAAGGTAGTAGGGCAGCCAAATCATGAAAGGCCTCGTAGGCCATTCATGCTACTGAGTTTGGGCGTTATTTTTCTGGGGATGGGCCTCCTTGGAAGGATTTCAAGCAAGGGCATGATGAGATCAGATTATAAGGTTGGATTAAAAAGAAAAAGCACTGGGGGCAATGTAGAGAATGAACTGGCTTGGGTAGTGAAGTGGAGAGGTGAGGGAGGCAATGGGATTGGTGTTGTAGCAATTAGATGGATATGGTAGTCATGTGGGTAAGAAAAGATGACACCTTGAACAATGCAGGGGCAATGGGAAAATGAGACCGGGAATGGATTTTCGTTTTGTGCTGATTCTGTTTTTTTGAAGGTAAAACAAGTAAGTCAGATTTTACAAATTGGCTGTTGGAGGTGCATAAAATGATGTGCTCTCTGAGTGCTTACTCTGTTCCTGAGAGAACCTCCAGTTCCGCTCTTGCTTTTGCGGAGGCTGCCTCTCTCGCTCTGTATTTTATTCAGAGAAAGAAGCTTAACTATTTATACTCCACTGCTTGCTTTGAATTTGCATTTCACAGCCTGGCCCTTTCTTTTTCAATGTTGCTGCTTTGCTTTCAAGATTTAGAGGCCTACTGGCTAAATAGACCCATTAAAGAGCCTTGCCTAGGAGTTTAGCCACAGCTGTCATCATTTGTGTCCAGGAGCCAAGGGCTTCAGCTTGCCTGGTTTAGTTGGGACTACCTATTTTTTTTTTTTTTTAATCAGTAGTGGTAAGAGTGGTAAGTGTGGTAAGGTGGGTAGTTCTGGGAAGGGTTACTGAGGAAATGGTGTGTTTTACTTGGAAAAAGAATGTTTCTATTAACTCAAACATTTAGAAATTCACTCATTCTCAAAGATGTTAAGTCATGGGTGTAGGAAAAGGATGGGAGTTTAAGAAGTGAAAGACACCACCCTGACATGAAGGAATGAATGAATGGTGAATTTTTAATAATTCACAGTTGTGTTCACTTGTGAATTATGAATAATGTATATAACAACTAAGTGTGTAGAGGGTCTCAAAGTATAGTTTGTATATGCGAGGGCAATCTGGCTGCAACATCTGTCACACCATAGATCAAAGTCTAGTTTGTGGTACACTTGCATTGGAGTCCCCAGTTTGCTTTGTGGGTCATTCTTATGCACAATAAAGCTTAGGACTCACGGGGTTCCAGGTTATACAAAAGCAAGAAGTGCAGTGGGCTGCAATGCCTGCTTTAAGGATATTAGGGAAACAAGAAAAGAAACTTTTGTGCCAGGCCACTGGGTATAAAGTTTTATGACCTGAGGATGGAAGGAAATTAGAAACAGGGATTGTTAAGGCCAACAGGGAGAAAGCAGAGCGAGTTTTCAACAACTTCTGTAGACAGTACGTGTGATTAGTTATTGTATGTTAACAGTGGACATGCATGTGTGATGTAATTTTTGAAGTTATGAAAGTGTAAGCAATCTTTTGTTCAGAGTTTACCCCTGGATGCTGTGGGCAATGAGCGATGGGCCTGGTGCAATGAAGAAGTAAATTGCCGCACAGCACTGTGCCTCAGGCCTGGAGCTCTTCACATCCTTTAGAGCTGGATTAAGAGATGCTGTGTTAGCTCGAACAAAGGTCACTAGGAGTCTTTGGGTTAATTTTTTTTTTTAACCCGTATATTCTTGTAGTTCATTGAACTTCTTTAAGAGGATGAAAGCCCAACTTGGGATCAATAAATGGTATAGTAAATATTTGTTTGAGTTCTAAAATGGACTATTATTTTAAACAGTTGATTAGCAAAGCTTAAAATACTTGATATCCTTCATGGTTTGTGTCCGTGGGAGATGTTTGGTGGTATGGCCACCAAACATGGGGAAGGAGAGAGGGAAAGAGTGCCATTACCTTAAAAAAAAAAAAGAATAGCCCTGATTGGGCACGGTGGCTCACACCTGTAATCCCAGCACTTTGGGAGGCTGAGGTGGGCGGATCACCTGAGGTCAGCCTGGCCAACATGGTGAAATCCTGTCTCTACTAAAAACAAACAAACAAAAATTAGCCAGGCACAGTGGCTCATGCCTGTAATCCCAGCACTTTGGGAGGCCAAGGTGGGTGGATCACCTCAAGTCAGGAGTTCAAGACTAGCCTGGCCAACATGGCAAAACCCCGTCTTTGCTAAAAGAAATACAAAAATTAGCCTGGCACAATGGCTTGCACCTGTAATCCCGGCTACTTGGGAGGCTGAGGCAGGAGAATCACTTGAACCCAGGAGGTGGAGATTGCTGTGAGCTGAGATTGCGTCACTGCACTCCAGCCTGGGCAACAGAGCAAGACTCTGTCTCAAAAACAAAAACAAAAAGAACAGCCCTTTACCAGTTCTTCTGGGTTCTAAGAGATGAACAGGCTTCCTATCCTGATGTCAAGGAGCTCCCAGCCTAATGGAGGAAACAGATGAACAACAATGAAGAAGTGCAGTGCATTTTATGCTAGAGGTGCCATGGAGTTTGGAGGAGGAATAGATTATCTTGCTGGTGAGTTTGTAAACCAGTGCCAAAGTGATGATGCCTCTGTGTGATGTTAATAGGTCTGTAGTTACACCCACACTCTTCCTAAGTCTCTGGACTAGAGGCTCATATTTCTCGAATCTCCTATGCAAAGACATTTTTAACTTGGGTGCATATGTAAGAGAAAAATATGTATGCTTTCAAATATCATTCAATTGAACATCTCCAAAATGTCTAGTAAATAATGTCTGAGAATACCCAGGTCTTGCTGGAGGCTGGTTATAGCTATGGCAAGGTGCTGCAGTCATGAGACAGTGGGTCCTTGCCTGCCTGCCCTACAATGTGCAACCCCCTGCCGTTATTCAGGTTGTCTTGCTTTTAGGCTTTTGAAATGTTTGGATTTGGGATGTTTTGGAAATTTCCCTGTCCAAAATTTTTGGAAGATAGGGATGGGGATAGGGATAATACCAGTTCTTTTTTTTTTTTTTGAGACAGGGTCTTGCTTTGTTGCCCATACTGGAGTGCAGTGGTGTGATCATGGCTTACTGCAGTCTCTACCTCCCAGGCTCAAATGATCCTCCCACCGCAGCCTCCTGAGTAGCTGGGACTACAGGTGCATGCCATCATGCCTGGCTCATTTTTGAATTGTTTTATAGAGACAGTAGTCCCCACTTTGTTGCACAGGTTGGTCTCAAACTCCTGGGCTCAAGAGATCCACCTGCCTCAGCCTCCCAAAGTGCTGGCAGGATTACAGATGTGAGCCACTGTGCTCAGCCAATTCCTGTTCTTAAAGACACTATAACCAGTAAAGTTCATTCAGTGGAGTTCTGGCTCTACTGTAACTGTTACTGGAAAGAGGTCCTGATCCCGACCCCAAGAGAGTGTTAATGGATCTTGCACAAGAAAGAATTCGGGGTGAGCCTGTAAAGTGAAAGTAAGTTTATTAAGAAAGCAAAGGAATAAAAGAATGGCTACTCCACAGACAGAGCAGCAGGATGGGCTGTTCGACTGAGTATACTTATAGTTATTTCTTCATTATATGCTAAACAAAGGGTGGATTATTCATGTGTGTTCCAAGAAAGGGGCAGGCAGTTCCCAGAACTGAGAGTTTATCTCTACTTTAGACCATATAGGGTAACTTCCAGACACGGCCTGGCATTTGTAAGCTGTCATGGCACTGGTGGGAGTGTCTCTTAGCATGCTAATGTATTATACGTAGCATATAATGAGCAGTAAGGATGACCAGAGAGGTCACTTCCATCACTATTTTGGATTTAGCGGGTTTTGGCTTTAGCGGATTTGGGTCGGTGTTTTTACTGTATTCTGTTTTATCAGCAAGATATCTTGTGATATCTTATGACCTGTATCTTGTGCCGACCTCCTATCTTATTCTGTGACTGAGGCCATCTAACCTCCTAGGAATGTAGCCCAGTAGGTCTCAGCTTTATTTTACCAAGTCCCTATTTGTGAAGGAGCCACTCTGGTTTGAATGCCTCTGATACAGTGGCTCCTAAACCTGGCAAATCAGCAAAATTTCCTTTAAAAAACTCTATCTGTCTCTCTAGGTATCTGTCTATTTATCTATCTATCTTAGAGACAGGGTCTTGCTGTTTCACTTAGGCTGGAGTGCAGTGGTTTGATCATAGCTCACTGCAACCTTGAACTCCTGGGCTCAAGCGATTCTCTCACCTCAGCCTCCTGGGTAGCTGAGACACCATTCCCAACTAGTTTTAAAATTTTCTGTAGAGATTGGGGTCTCACTACTCTCTGTTTTTCCCAGATTGATTTTGAACTCCTGGACTCAAGTGATCCTCCTCCCTTGGCTTCCCTAGGTGCTGGGGTTATAGGGACATGAGCCACTGGGCCTGACTGTTGTTTATTGCCGTGGTTCTTTAGCAAAGGCTTTCATCATAATCATCTGATCAGCATTTTGAATCTGCTATTGCCCTAAATGCATGGAATTTTAATTCTTTGGGTTTGGGGTCAAGCAGAACTATAGGTCTTTGCTGATTTGGATGCATAATAATGGTGGAAACTCTCTGACTCACAGCAGTGATTTTTAAACATCTTTTATCCTACCCCTGTCAATAAAAGATTTTTGAGCAGTCATTCTCCGATATATGGATTTATTTATTTATTTATGAATTATATATGTGTATTTCTGCTGTTTGATGTGCAAACAGATGTTTTTTAAAAATGAGGTTAAAAATAAACGTCATTGACAGTTCTAATATTTTTATCTCCTTCCCCTAGTGGATACACTGAGGATCCCATTGTGTAGCACGCTGAAAGAACAGGGCAGTGGTTCTTTAATTGGACCCCAACTCTTATTTAGATGCTACTGTCACAGGTAGCTGTCTGAAACAGAATCACCTGTTCCCACCCCAACCAAAGCACTCCTACTCCATTCCTTAATTTATGCAGTAATTCAACATATGTATAGGTTTAGCAGACATGATCCAAAAATCCAAAATCCAAAGTGCTCCAAATTGTGAAATACGATACTCAGAGGAACTGTTCATTGGAACATTTGACATTTAGGATTTTTGGATTTGGGACACTCAGCTGGTTAATTACCTGCCAATATTCTCAAATCCAAAAAAAATCCCATATCTCAAACACTTGTGGTTCCAGGCATTTCAGATAAGGGACAATATTGTGCAAAGTGTTGAATGAGGGGCTGGTGTATAGTGAGATCAAGGACCCAGATTATGCCAGCATAAACATTAAACAAATGATTACTTAATATTACATTACTATAATTTTGATGTATGCTAAAAAGTGTGAACTCAAAAGTATCTGAGACAAGTCTCAAAGAAAGTTTAGAAAGTTTATTTTGCCAAACTTAAGGAGGCACCCAAGACATGGTCTCAGGATGTCCCAGTGACATGTGCCCAAGGTCGTCATGGTACACCTTGCTTTTATACATTTTGGAGAGACATAATATATCAATCAATGCATGTAAATTTACATTGGTTCAATCTGGAAAAGTGGGACAATTTGAGGCTGGTGGTAGGAGGGCTTGCAGATTATAGGTACATTTATAAATTTTCTGATTGGCAATTGGTGGAAAGAATTATTATAAATAGAAAGGAATGTCTGGGATATGTTAAGGGGTCTTGGAGACCAAGGTTTTATCATGTAGATGAAGCTTCCAAGTAGCAGGTTTCAGAGAGAATAGATGGTAAATGTTTTGTATCAGACCTTAGGTCTGTATTGATGTTAATACTGGCTGGCTTTTCCTGAATTCCAAAAAAAGAGGAGGGTGTAATGAGGCATGTCTGACCCCCTTTCGTCATTGCCTGAAACAGTTTTTCAACTTAACTTTGGAATGCCCTTGGCCTAGAGGAGGGGTCCTTTCAGGTGGTTGGGGTAGAGTAGGGGTCCTTTCAGATGGTTGGGATTATTTTTGATTTCTGAAAGTATATCTGTATAACCTGAGAATGACCTCTTATGGAGGGTTTGAGAAATCTGTAATTTGGCAGCAGGAGGGTCATTGAAGCAAAACTAGAGTGTTTCGGATCTAGAGGACAGAGGTGGAAATACCATAGCACAAGATGAAACTGAAGATGTGAGCAGAGACCAGGGATCATGGGGGCTTAGTAGACCATATTAAGGAATTTAATCTTTATTTTGAGGGTAAGGTAATCCATTGAAGGATCTAAGGGAGAGTGACAGGGCCAGATTTGCATCTCAAAAGATCACTTAAAGGTGCAGCAAGTTGTATCAATTCTTTCCCTTCTTTTTCCTTTTCTTTTTCTTTTCTTTTTTTTTTTTTTTTTTTTGAGACGGAGTTTCGCTCTTGTTACCCAGGCTGGAGTGCAATGGCGCGATCTCGGCTCACTGCAACCTCCGCCTCCTGGGCTCAGGCAATTCTCCTGCCTCAGCCTCCTGAGTAGCTGGGATTACAGGCACGCGCCACCAAGCCCAGCTAGTTTTTTGTATTTTTAGTAGAGACGGGGTTTCACCATGTTGGCCAGGATGGTCTCGATCTCTCGACCTCGTGATCCACCCGCCTCGGCCTCCCAAAGTGCTGGGATTACAGGCTTGAGCCACCGCGCCTGGTCCTTTTCTTTTTGAGATAGAGTCTCATTCTGTCACCCAAGCTGGAGTGCAATGACGTGATCATGGCTCACTGTCACCTCAACCTCCTGGGCTGAAGCTATCCTTCTACCTTGGCCCCCCAGGTAGCTGGGACTACAGGTAGGCACCACCATACCTGGCTCATTTTAAACTTTTTTGTAGACCTGGGGTGTCACTATGTTGCCTAGGCTGCTCTCAAACTCCAGGGCTCAAGTGATCTTCCCACCTCAGCCTCCCAAGGTGCTGGGATTGTAGGTGTGAGCCACTGTGCCCAGCCTGTTCTCTCCCTTCTTATCTTTTGCTTGTATTTAGAAACCGTTGCTTTTACAGTTGCCCTCAGATTACACTCCCCTTTTCCCTACTTCGTATAAACTCTTACACATCCTCCAAGGTCCATCTTTGTTGTCACTTTCTGGTGAGGCCTTTTCTTATTTCCTCCTCCAAATAACCACAGCCTTTAGAGCTAATCTGTATATATATATATATATATATATATATATATATATATATATACATTTATTTTACATTTTAAATTTTTTCTGCTTTTAAAAATTTTAATTTTTTTTAAACTTTATTTAAAATATGGAATGCTTCATGAATTTGCGTGTCATCCTTTCTTAGGGGCCATTGCTAATCTCAGTATCATTTCAATTTTGGTATATGTGCAAACACTAGAGCTAATCTCTATAAAGGCGCTTTTTAGGTTTTATTACCAATTACCTGTTTGGATCAATTGGGGAAGAGCAGATGCAGAAAATAATTACTTAAATCTTCATGGCACACTATCATTTGGTTTCTTTGGTTTGTTCAAGGCTCCTACCTCATTTTACTATTCCTTTATTTCTTTTTTTGTTTGTTTGTTTTGTTTTGAGACGGAGTCTCACTCTGTTACCCAAGCTGGAGTGCAGTGACATGATCTTGGCTCACTACCACCTCCGCCTCGTAGGTTCAAGTAATTCTTCTGCCTCAGCCTTCAGAGTAGCTGGGACTACAGGCAAACGCCACCATGCCTGGCTAATTTTTGTATTTTTTTAGTAGAGACAGGATCTCACCATATTGACCAGGCTGGTCTTGAACTCCTGACCTTGTGATCTGCCCACCTCGGCCTCACAAAGTGCTGGGATTACAGGCATGAGCCACCGCGCCCCACCTTATTCCTTTCTTATTATAAAGACTTCTGTACTGTTTGTATGTGTTTTTAATGTACACAAATGCTGTCTTTTATTAACTTTACATTTTTTACTTTTTAAAATTAGAATGATTTTTAAACATCAACTCATTTTCCTTTGTGTATCTATAGTCTGTTGCTTCTAACCAGTGCTTGGTGCTTCACAGTGGGAATTAATCATATTTTACCTATCCTCTCTTTCAGTGGTGGCCACCCAAATCCTTTCATTTTCCCTGTATTACAAGCAGTGCTGCAGTGAGCAGCCTTGTATATATTCTTTATGGACCTGTGTGAGAATTTCTCTGGGATATGAACATCCAGGATCCAAATTCTGGGGTTGGAAAGCGACGGTGGGCTTATTTAGCTAGATCCTGCCTATTGCTCCTTAGAATAGCTGCACTGACTGTGTGTTCCTCACAGTGCAAGAGTCTCTGTAGCCCCATGTCTCCACCAACACTGGGCATGTTTCGATCAGTCTAGTAGCTTCACTGTGTATTTCACTGCTGTTTAATTTTCATTTCTCTGGTTACTAGTGGGTTGAGCATTTCAGTAGATTTGTTAGCATGTTGTTACATTGCCTATCATGCCTTTGTCTACTTTTCTCTTGAGTTACTCTCATTTTCTTGTTGCCTTGCAAAACTTTCTTGTTGCCTTGCAAAAGCCAAGGTGGAAGGATGGCTTGAGCCGAGGAAGTTGAGGCTGCAGTGAGCCATGATCATGTTACTGTACTGTAGCCTGGGTGACAGAATGAGAGCCTATCTCCAAAAGAAAAAGAAGAGAAAGAGTAGATACAATTTGTTGCACCCTTAAGTGATCTTTCTGAGATGTAAATCTGGCTCTGTCACTTGCATAATCTCAATGTTAGTTATCTGTACATTTTAGATATTGAAAACATAGTCTCCTAGTAATCTGAACAGAAATGTGTAATAATTTTGCCAATAATTATTCCAATTATTGCCATTAATTCTTCTATATTATCTTTATGGCTTTATTTTCCATCTTGAATCTATTTGGTCTAATGATATTGAGTAGATACTTAATATTATTATGTCAGTTTAGTATTATGTCAGTTTTTAAACTCCAATTTTCATCTTTTCTTGATTTATGCTACCAACTTTATCATATATTACATTCTAATCAGTAGATGAGTCTGTTTCTGACTCTGCTCTGTTGTTCTGTTCTACTTGTTCATTTAAACGTTCTTGCTCAAGATTGTTTCTATGCAGTGGCGCTACAGTATATCAATGGATTTGGTTGGGACAGTCCCTCCCTTACCTCTACTTTTCTCCTCTTTCTCAACATTTATTTAGTTATTTGTGGACCTTTACTGTTCCATGTAGATTATAGAGGTTTTCAGAGACCCTCAGAAAACCCAACTGAAATCTTACCTGAGGTTAATTTGGGGGGAGAATTGATATTTTATGATAATAAACTATCCTTTCCAAAGGTATAGATATGTCTCTCCAATTATTCTTCTCATCTTATATGTCCTTTAGACTGATTTAAAACTTTTTATTTATATTTTTTTATTAAGTAAGGTTATCAACACTTTATAGCTTTTTATGCTGTTGTGAATTAAAACTTATTTTTCAATTCTATTTTTCTAGAAAGTTTTCCTTATCTGGAGAAATGCGTTGATTTTAATCTGTTCACTATACTGTGTTTCTCAAGAGCAGAGGCTGTGTCTTTTGTCTCTGTAATCCCAGTGTTTAAAACATTGCATGGCATGTGATCAATGAATGTTTGTTGAATGAATGAATGAAAGAGCAGGATACATAAAGCAGAATGGGCTGCTCTGATATTTGGGTCCATACAGAGGCTTCATGGGAATATCCACGACAGTTGCAGCAGATACCCCACCACAAGGACCAACGGAAGGGGCAGTTTATACCTTTACATGGCTGTCTTTCTAGGGGTGATAAATTAATTCCCCAAATTGGCTCACTTAGCTTTAGTTGGTGTCTCCCCCAGTTTTCCTCAGACCACGTAGATGTTTTTGAACATAGCCTTTTGCTGTCTATTATGGCTTC